AGAGCACCTGACTGGAGATTCAAGGGTCCAAGCTCTTTCTCTCCAGTATTATTTGGTGCTTTGTATTGTGGCATTGCGCTGGAAGTGACAGGTGAAGGAAGACCATTAAGGAAGGAAAAATGTGGTGGTCAGATGGGTTCAATGGGAAAGAAAGCTCATTATGAACAGCACCTGGGTATTAAGGGGGCCAGGGTTCAAATCCTGCTGTGGTTTGTTTCTCCTCACCTGTCACAGAATCTAATTCCTTAATATTAAGACGATTCTCTCACCTTCCTGGAGCCTGGACTCCACCTCTGTGTCCACAGCCGTCTCTAACTTCGCCCTCCACTCGGCCTCCGTCAGTTTGACCGCATTGTCCACTGCCGCCTGTTTAGAGGACCGCTGCTCCTCAAACCACTCCATCTTACACATAGCAATCTGAAAATTTCAGAAAATAGAGAACTGAAATGTTTTCATCAAAATTATTTTTCTAAAGTATACAACTCTTATATTGGGCTTCTCAAAATAATAAAATGAGGAAATGAAAGCCATCTTTTCTTGCTACATTTGACATTCTTCATTCTATGCTGTTAGACATATTCAGGAAAGTTTGAGCTTAAAATTCATCACTTGATTATTGTACAATTCAAATAAATAATACAGTCACATTAGATTGAATGGCGTGTCCTTAATATTATAAAAGTTCAAATAACCACATTCCATGAAGGAAATACAAAATCAAATCAAACTGGTCACACCTAGGTAATTCTTTAAAAATATATATATAAGAATTTATGGCATTCTACCTTTTATAAATCTCATCCATCTTCACAAGAAATGGCTATTTTTTTTTCAATAACTTAAAATAAATCCTAAAATTCTGCAAGGTCAGAGTTCAATCACACGGGTCAGAGTTCAGTAACCCAGGTCAAAGTTCACTGAAGTGGTCAATCACTTAAGTAAATTCATTCACTCCTAATGCACTAAACTGCAAATCCTAATTAAGCAAGACACAGCATGAAATGGTATGCATTTACAATCCTTTTAAACAATGCACTCAAACATTCTGTTCTATAAGTAAGCCTTGGCCAAATGTCACAGATATTCAGACAGGGATTTAAAAAATTTCCGTTTCGTAGAATAGTAGAATTTTCAATGCAATAAACCAGCATCATCAACCGTGGAATACAGACATGCAGGCTTGTCAAATTCTATCCCACCAAAGTTAATAATTTAATCCATTGTTAATCTGTGACAGGAATTTACTAGAACTGGACTGATTAAATACCTTCCAGTTCTTTACAGACAGATTTAAACTCATTAACAATGCAGGAATTGCACATGAAAAAATATCAGTGGAGATATGTGAGGTGTGTTAAAGCTATACAGTTGATGATCGCAGATTTATTTCATATTCATGGCAGTTTAATTTAAATGGGGTCAGTTTAAGGATTGTGTATTTCGTACTAAGTGTATTCTGTCTGAATATTAAAAGTTAAAAAAAATAATTTATAAAAAAAATTAAAGTAGTATAAACATTAAAATGACATAATTCTAAGAGAATTGAAAAGTAAATAAGCTAAAAAATATAATTTATAAAAAGACCAGATAGCAAACACTGAAACATATTTGTCAAATCAGAATTTTAAGAAAACTTTTTGTTTTTAATTATCAATTATCAATATTCATTATGATTTTGATAAAAAAAGTCAACCTTTTAATTCCACCACTCTCAAATAAATCTAACTGTATATGAGCTGTGACAAAGGCATTACGATTTTTTTTTTTGGAGGGGGGGGATTTTGAATACAAGTTTCCTCCCCCCTCAGACTGAAATCTTTGATCTGTTCCTAAAAACGGTAAAAAGAAAAGATGTGGGGTGTCTTTAAACCTAAGTTACAGCTATCAAAGCAAGTGTAAACCCATTATATTCAATAAATCCTTCTTGTATGATCACTGTATATTGATCCTTCCCATAATGTGTTAAATGCCTCAAATTCAAATGAAATCTTTTTAAATCTCCTATCTCTAAGATGAGCATATTAAAAATAAGCCAATGGAACATATCGTTTTGATTAGATAGATGCACAGTAAATTATTTTATTTATCAGTCACGAATTAAAACCCCTGATATCTTTCATCTGTCCTGTGTACTGTGATAATGACAGAGGGTTTGTCAGTAGAGACCTCATCTTCTTAATCGGAGTAACATTGTGTGAGGGGAGTCACATTTATCATTGAACATTGACAACTTACAATCGTACGCCCATCTGTATACAGGTACATACCTCTATCTAAATGTATGTGTGTGGCTGTAAACCAAGTGTAATGTTTGGATGGCAACCAAGTGTTTGAATATTTAAGTTCAAAAAACATATACCAGTATATATAAATTTAAATAAAGTTAAATTCTTGAATCATCATAAAGATTTTAAAATCTCTATGTTTGTCTGTGAGGAAAATAGGTCACCTGCAAATAGCTAAACTCCATAAGTCCAAAAGCATTTAAATATTCTGGATGACAGTATTACCAACAAGTCTGAAGCCTCCGACATCTGGGGTTGGGCCAGCTGGATGGTTCGGGGGTGTGGGAGGGGGTGAATTAAGCATTTGAGGTTGTTGTGCGAAATAAAATGGGGGCGAAAATTTCCCAATATAAACCGTATATACTCGCCTACAAGTCGGTATTTTGGGACTTAAATATTGGTCTAAAACTCTATGTCCGACTTATAGGCGAGTCATAAAGAGATATTTTTCTGGAGGCTGAAATTTAGCATTTTATTTGCATTTCCGACGATTATCGAAGAAAATGTCTTGATATAATATATGATAATTTTTGTATTCTTAGATTATACATATAACATGTATAAGTACAAGATTTTACATATTTTATTTGTATTTTTAGTGAGCATTGCCTTTCTAAAAATAATTTAAGATTAAATATTAGTCACTTTGAAAAATATTTATTGAAACCAGGTTAAAACATAAATTGATTTACTTGAAGTTTGCATCCAATTTTGGCAAAAAATGTACAGACTTATATGCGGGTCAATAGCAAATCCCACCAAAATAACGTAAAAAAATACAACCGACTTATAGGCGAACTGACTTATAGGCGAGTATATACGGTAGTAACTTGCATCTTTCAGAAAATTTCAGAATGCTTTCAACAGCCATTGTTTCTTACCAAACTTTTCAAGTTTCATTTTCCTTTTCACTTCTTAATATGTGGGCATTTTTAGCCGACTCAGAGAATAAAATTTATTAAAGGGCAAATTGACGTGAATATACATCCAGTACTAGAACTAAAACAATCTGCATTTGTCCATTAAATGCATGGAATAGTCATTGTGTAAATTACAGTACATAGATTGGGTATATCAGGTATCATTAACCAGCTAATTGTGCACTGAGCTCTTTAAACCCATCATCTTATCTTTGCAAATGAATTGTAAAATGAACATGTCAAAATTTAAACCTTTTTCATGAAATTACAAACATCAATAATTACTCAGGTCTTATTACTTTAACATTTATGAGACAAAAATATAACCCAAGCAAAGTAAAAATATCATAAATGTTAGTGCTGTGCGATATTACCGGTTAACCGGTGTATCCCGATTTTTTTCTTCACAATACGTATCGCGGTATTTTTTTGTGAATACCGGTTCGGGTTCGATATGCTATAAATTGTTATAAAAAGAGTTATTTGCCCTTTACAAGGTAAAATATGGCGGCAAGCGACGTGAAGTGTGATCAGAAACGAGAGACATATCTCTGTCAGAAACGAAAAGACAACTGTTACATGAAACCTCTTCATGTTAAAGCCGAATCTGCAAATTACAACTTGATTCGTCAAGTTGTGCCATAAAAAACTTAGCTTGCCACTTGCGCCGACACAACGCGACCAGGCAGTTGCAATATCAACTCGAGAATACATGTAATTTGAGTTTGTGTTTTCATTTGACATTGATTAAAATCAAAATTTATTAAAAAAATTTATATTGTGATATATTGCAATACAAAATATAATATTGCAATATATCGCGATACAATTTTTCAGTCGCGATACCCAGCTCTAATAAATGTCTACAAAAGGTGATTCAAAATCGCCCTTTATCTTATACTTCACAACTAAAAATCAATTCATTATGCAGAATACAAATACACTATTTAAGAACAATCTGTAGTGCATGGCCATTGAATTTTACTGTACCTTGGTTTCCAGTTATTAGACAGGTTAAGCATTTGATCATGTACATTTACTTGTACATGTAAACCTAGAAGTGATTTTACATGTACGCTTAACTAATGTCGTGTTCTGTTTAACAAACTGCACGTGTACCAGTATGTGTAAAATGTCATTTCAGCAAGGCACTTTAAAATCCATTTGTATCAAATAAATATATGACTTGAAATAAAAGAGATACATTGGATGTATGTAATAAATTTTGAACTTCATACCAAACACCAGCTGAAAAATATTTATTCTGTTGTTCGAGTTTAAGAAGCTACAAGTTCTCACCTACATGTACTTGCAAATCTACACGTTGTGTACAACATTTAGAATTACGCAGTATGCAAAACTGATGATAAATTTCCCTAGCTACTCGTACACGTAGACATACACGGTCATCTGCTTAACCTCTCCATTTCTGGTTTTTACCTTGGTTTCCAGTAATTTCTGTTTTTACATTACCTTGGTTTCCAGTAATTTCTGTTTTTACATTACTTTAATTGGTTTCCAGTAATTTCTGTTTTTACATTACCTTGGTTTCCAGTAATTTCTGTTTTTACATTACCTTGGTTTCCAGTAATTTCTGTTTTTACATTACCTTGGTTTCCAGTAATTTATGGTTTTTATTTTACTTTGGTTTCCAGTAATTTCTGTTTTTACATTACCTTGGTTTCCAGTAATTTCTGTTTTTACATTACCTTGGTTTCCAGTAGTTTCTGTTTTTACATTACCTTGGTTTCCAGTAATTTCTGGATGTCCTCTTCTGTTTTCTTCTTTAGTGACTCGGTGACCTCTGACCTGATTTTCTCCTTGTCTGCTGCCATTTCTTCCTTCACTTTCTCCACAGCCTGATCTTTCTCACTGATCAGTTCTGCTCTCAACTACAATATACGAACACAGGAGAAAATTATTTTTCAACATTTACAGGTCATTATAAATACTCCCAAGATATACCTTATATTTACCATAATTAAGATGAACCAATATTTTACATGCTAAAGGCATATGTTTTTTTTTTTTAAAAAGTTTAATCAGTAGTGTTTGGTAAAAATAACAAAGTTCTGATAAAAAAGCTTCAGTTTTCTTTTCATGTGTGAATATTACAGTACATGTACAAACATTTTCTTCAACTTTTACTAGCTGACCCCAATAGCCCAAAATAAACTTTTTTACAATAATGATCATCAAAGGACATTTTTACATACTGATCTACAATAAAACAAACTTACGATACATGTGAGTGATATAACAACAAATTAACCTTAGATGAATGCTCACCTCTTGTAATTTCTGGAAGGTTTCAGTTTCATTTTCCTTCTTCATCTTCTCCTCCAAAAGGTCCTTCTCAGAACACACCTTGACATACAATTGTTTGACCTGATCCACTTCATGTAAGGCTGAATTCAAATCATTTCTGAAATAGAAAAAAAATGTCATGCAAAACCTTTTTTTCTAAAAATGCAGGCAAACCTTGAAGTATAGAGATGTAATAAGAAGCATTATGTTATGAATATTTTTTTCGCAATGAAAGGTAATACATTAACCCTTTACTTGTAATAAAAAGAACAGAATAGAAAATTCACAAGTTATCTCCTCCTGATGTTCAAACTGTGAAATCTCCTATTTTCCTGGAGCTTTATTATCATTGTTTTCCAGGTATGGAAAAACACAAATCTACGACCACAACCAACCAAGAAATGTAAAATTTCATATGCATTACAACTTAACATTTTTCAACCATCAAATCAAGTTCCAACAAACCCAACATTTTCCCCTAAAACCTAAAAAATTACACCCTTGAAAAACATGTGAATTAACAGTACCTTAGCTGTGTGCATTCCCTCTCATACTTGGTGATCAGACCGGTCTTCTCTGCCGTAAACTCGTCAATCATGTGAAGTCTCAGCTGTTCCTTGGCTGTCTCGTGTACGGACTCGCAGGCTCGCTGACACCGATCGAGCGCCTCGCGTTTGTCCTGGTCGTACTCGCGGACCATCTGAGACATCTGCTGAGTTAACTGCTGGTTTATCTCCGACAACTTCTCCTCACTAGACGCCACCTCCTCCAACCTCTTCTTCAAGTCCTGCAACACAAGACAATTTTACTGAGGATTTGGAGATTGAATGGACTGGTCATCTTTTAATTGTCAGCAAAAGAACACATATTTAATATTAATGATTAGAGGTCTTGTTGCCTAATAAATTCTGAGAACTCAGAGCATCATTAATAGAATCATTCCTCCTTTTCCCATGCATCCTGGATGAAAAATGTACCAATAACTAAATCTCTTTCCCTCCTCAGGTCCCCTCTTTATCTCCACATCCTCACCGAGAACTTCTTGAATGTTATACCCATGTTTTATTGTACAGTATCACACAATTATTGACTTAAATTTGGTCTATTAATGATTTTATGGTCCTGGTCAGGTATATGTTGACCAAGCCATAGGCCATTGTTAACCAATACCTGACCAGGTTCTTTATTGAGGTGAACTCACTCTGAGGTATATGTACATCACAGGAAAGTGCATCTAAACCAATCAGAAATCACCAATATTCCTGATTATTTAATAATAATAATTATAACTCCACCCCTTTCAAACCCCATTTTTCCACATCTTTAATGGGGACCTCTTGAACATCATAACCGTTGTACTGTACAGTATTAACAATCAACCCTCACCCCACCCAATTCCCTTACCTCCACATCCTCTTTGAGTACCTCTTTCTACCTTTTGAGGCTCCCACATCTTCACTGAGGACCTCTTTCCCCTTTTGAGGCCCCCAGGCCCCTTCCTTACCTCTACATCTTCACTGAGGACCTCTTTCTCCTGTTTGAGGTTCTTGATGTCCTTCTGTAGGCGGGCCTCCACAGCTGACACTTTGTCATCAGACCTCACTAACTCCTCCCACTCCTGGAGCTTGGACTATAAATATATACAGACTATAAATAGATACAGACTATAAATAGATAAAGACTATTAATACATGTTGATACAGAATATAAATACCGGTAGATAAAGAGATAAAGCCATAAATTAATTTAGGTATTTAATATTATTTACTTATATAATGTAGAGTTTCATAAAGCAGCAAGAGTTTGCATGAATTACAAATCAAGTAAACTATCAATGATATTAAAAGTATGCCAAATCATACAACAATAAGTATTTTAGAGTTCCGAAGATGTTAGTAAAACTTTTTGAGTATTCTTTTTTCTTTAAAGTACATAAAAAAATTTGTGGTTGGAAGTTATACATGTGATTTTATTGTCCCTTCAAATACGACTAGAATATGACTGTACCTTCAAATCTTTTTCTGATTTCTCGGCTCTTTCGCAGCGCATTCGGAACTCCTCTAGATCCTTCTTACAAGTCCTTAGTTCCTCCTGCAGTTTGGTCACTTGGATTCTCTTTTCCTTGTTGCTAAGAAGACATCTTTCAAGTTCTATTTTTAGATTGGTCACCAGATCTTGAGACTCTGCTCCTTTTGGCACAGAACTGAATCTGTACACCAGAAAAATATACATTAAATTATTAACATTTTTCATATTATAATAAGGTATGACAGAAATGATATAAACGATATTTGACACCTTGTAAATAAAATTATCTATTTAATTTCTCAATTGAATAAGGGAATAACTATCTTCTAATTTGGTATTTGCGACCGTTAATGCTGATTTAAGGGTCACAAACTGATTTTTACCGGCAACGCGTAAGCGTAAACATCTTATGTCTTATTTTGATGAATTTTGTTACAAGAAATATGTCACAGAGCATTGTGTTTTTGCATCACTCTATTATGACGTCACAATGAAAAAGCTTTCATGCTCGTTAATGCTCGTTTTACTGCTTCAAACATCAGTGCATTACCCAATCAAAAAGTGTTTTACAAAACTATTGCATTAAAATATATTTTTAGCAAGGACAATTTTGGTGATATTCAATTTATAATACTGTAGAATTATCAATGTTTATGAGAAGCAAATGTTTAAGGATTTCATGAATTCTATTTATAACCCTTAAAACAATAACTTATGTTATCCTTGAATTTTGTGTTTCATAGAAGTTATCCAGAAAATCATGCCTCTAAAACCAACAAAATTTTGCATTTTCACAAACACTGACCATTTAGAAATTAAATGCATCTCCAAAAAAAAAAAAAAAAATAATTTTGTTCTCCCTTACTTAATAGGTTCTGGAGTTTCATCAAAGTCAATAGTTTTCTTGATTCCAAGGTCCATCATAGAGTCGTCATGAATTGTCTCCCTTGTGGTCTCCTGACTGAGCACGCCCAGACAAGACGCCGCCTCAAACATGTTCAACTGCTCTTTCAAGTCCTTAACCTCCTCCTGTAATCGAACATGATTAAATTAGCATTAACAAAGATGATACTGTAAATCACCATTTATTTGTAAGAAGGTAATTTTCAAGTACTGTAGACGTACTTTTTTCCGCAGAGTCATAATTCCTGGGAATCACAATTTCTATTTATTCAGCGGTTTGAAAATTACATCGATTTTTCAGACTGTTACTATATGCCTTACATTTATATTTAGTAAGCTTGGACAAATTTCCGCAGAAAATTTGTGACTGCGTACATAGCGTAAAATAATACCATGGGAAAAAAGTACTTCTACAGTAATTAAGCAAGAAAGTGTGCTTGCGAAAATATTATCTTCGCATATATAAGTCTTAGTTAGAATACCTAATGATTATATAGAGCAGAAACAACAATTTGTAAAAATATTGTCTTGCTAATAAGGAGGATGTGTGTCTTTAAATTAAAAATTCCGCAAAAATTTAGTGTTCTACAGTAATAATACCCATTTTTATGCAATTTATGAATTTTGTTTGAGGCTTATGTCTTAATATGTTGTTGCATTATATATGAAATTTGTTATAAAGTTCAAGCTTAGGGTTTTGTTTTTGAGTCATTATATTACTAAAAGGATGTTAGGATTAAAAAATAATTTTAAAAAATCCTTCCCTCTCGTTAAATTTTTATTTAGTTATTGCTTCAAACATCTGTCTATTAACCAACCACAAAGTATTTTACAAAATTAAACAATTGAAAAAAAATTTATTACACTGAGTCTTGTTTAATTGATTCAAGACACCTGATATCTGTTTCAATAGAAATTGGTTGGATTAGACAACATTCTGCTTTAGACAACAGTCGGCAAGCCTCGCCCTCTATCACATTTTCTTACCCTCGCACAAACATAATTAATATATTCAAGACAGAAACCATGCATGTCTTTCAGTATAATACTCTATCTTTAATTTTTTTTTTTTTTATTTGGGGGGGGGGGGTAGGATATTCATAGAATTAATTGAAAATAGAATTCAAAATTGTTCACCAAAGAAGGGGTGTGTGGCATGGATGGAGTAAATATTCATTGTAAAAGTCTTGATACTATCACCTGGTAAGAGAGAATCATTTCATCAGCAATTTTTTTAGATGCTGTACATTGCTGTAGCTGGATCTTCAATTGACTTGCTTCATGTGAGGAGGCTACAATGGAGAAATTATCAACATTCTCTTTTTTTTCTCATAAAATGCACCTAAATTTACAATAACACAATACCTATTATCTTCTTGATCATTAAATAAATTCAATAGAAAAATATGAGTGTTTATCAGATATTCTTATCGCTATCTAATTAACAAAAAAAGGTTCCATCTCAAATTAAATGCTTAATAATACGCCTATTTATACTCAGCATAATTTAAATCTAAACAGGAACATATCTTTGTTAAACTTTTCTTTTCTATACATACCTGACTCTAGCAGCATCCTGCATTGTTTCTGGGAATCTTCCAGGCTGTGAGTCAGACGATTGATGGTCTCAGCTCGTGAGATCTGCGAGTTCTCTGCTTCTTTATAACTCTCATTCAGTTTCTGTCTCAAAGTTGAGTTCTCTGCATTCTGTAAAAAATGAATATAAAAAATGAGTATTCAATTTTTGAGTCTAGTTTATGTAAGAGAATAACCCATATTAATCTTAAATGATTGCACATGTTATGTGCCAGTCTTCTATTTAAAACCTTGAGAAAAACTTAGTTTTTTATTTTTCTTCATTTCACAGGGTTAAGAAAAAATCAAGTTCCAATCTTTATTCACACACTTGTAATACATGTATACCGTAAATCTGGAAATTTTTGCTGTAGATAAATTTTTAGCAAATTTGCGAGTTCATTGCATTCTCAAAAATATTTTTCTTAAAAATAAATCACCATTAAGAAAATGAAAACAATGCAGTGGTCATTCGCAAAATTTGGAAACATAAAAATTAATCAACAGCATTTTGACCCTAATTCGCAAAATAAAATCGACATAAAAAATTCCAGATTTACGGTATTATAAAGAAACTTCTAGTAAGTCTGAGATAATATCTCTTATAACAGACTAATTTTTCCATTTCTAAGTTGTCCCCCTAATGTTGGCAAAAGTAAAATAATTACCGAATCATTGAGTTTATCTGTGAGATCTTCTATCTTCTCTTTGAGCACTTTGACTTCCTTGTCATGTTTCTGCTGAACTCCTGACAAAACTCGCTCATGTTCAACTCGAGCTCTGTTGAGACTGTCTGAAGCCCCCATCTCAGCGAGCTGTTGGTTCAAAGTCTCTATTGTGGACTCAGCAGTCTGCAGGCTTTTTACTGCCTGGAATGAAATTATCAAAAAAAATAATGAACATACACTTTGTATTTAATCAAAAAATATCATATCTTAAGGAATGTAAAAGATGCGGATTAACCACTGCAGAAAAAGTGGAGATATAGTTCCTAACAGTGCACAGAAAATCTTGTGCCATGAATTGCACCTTTTTTTGTGCACAGCAGGATCTTTAACGTTATAATCAAAGAACAATTTTAAAAATATAAAACCATTTAATGCTACAGTTCTGCAACTACATGTATATACAAGATTTGACTCTAGACTTCCTAGGATGCCTCTGTTGACTGAAATTATAACAATTATTGCTTTTCTGTTCTTGAGAAGAAGATTTTTAAAGACATTTCCTTATATATTTCTACAGACATCACCTACCCATTTGGGTCACTGTATCAACAAAATTGAATCTACATTATGTCAAGAACATTTCACTTAAGTTACATCTTTTCTAGCAAACTAGTTCTTGAGAAGGAGATTGTTTAAATACACCAACCTAATTTTCATTATTTATTGATTATCTCCCCTTATAAGACTGTAACCCTTTATTTGAATAATTTTGAATCCCCTTTAGCAAAGGATATTCTTTGCCAAGTTTGGTTAAAATTGGCCCAGTGGTTCACGAGAAGAAAATGAAAATGTGAAAAGTTTATGACAAGAAAGAAAACGACAATGACAGTCAACAGACAAATTTTGACCTGAAAAGCTCACTTGAGCTTCTGGCTCAGGTGAGCGAAAAGGAGTTAAACAAACTTGAAAATAGGGAACAGACCATCTTTTAAATGTCTGGTTTATGCATGACTAACTCATATTTCTTATCTATATATCTGTAATGATGATTCAGTTTTAAGCTTTGAAAATTTAAATCCACTGACTAAACTCAAGGATATTAATTAAAGTATTTTGAATGATCCAGAAAATTCATTCCACCAGCTTAAAACGAAAGAAAAAAAAAGTTGAATTTTATAGAGAATTGAAAAGAAATAGTGAGTATGTTATCAAGTCTTTCAATGTTTAATATTGATTAAATGCTGAACCAATAATGTAAAATTTTAAATACTTTTTCATGTGCACTGAAAATATCTTTTTTCTTTAAAATTGCTCTGCTAATGTATGTAATTTTTTAATTTTTGAGTTTGTATAACTGACCTCCTTAAGGTACAACATAACTGAGTGTCGAAAGAAGTTGTATGCATATGCATCAATTATTATGACAATTAAAAATTCTAAGAAATTCCATGTTTGCATCATTACTTTCTACTTTAACCACTCCCAGGTAAAAATGATTTTTTTCTAATCCCAGATAACAATAGATATGGCTACTGCCCCGGGACAGGACATCATTTGTTGTCAGTTGTGTCCAAACCCTGTAAAACACCACTGCAATCTCTGCAATGTAGATCTATGCCTTTCATGTATGACAAATCATATGGCAGATGATTCAAGAAAACATGAAGTTGTTGGATACAGTTCAAAGAAAAAACACTCTTTTGTTCTACCAATATGTCCCTCACACATGAATAACCGATGCGAGACATACTGTCGAGATTGTGATATACCAATATGTATTCAGTGTAAAACGGGTTTGCACACAATACATAAACTTAGCGACATCAATGATATTCTCCAAGAAAAAAAGAAACACATAATAGCTAACACAGAAGAACTAGAAAGTACAATTGGTCCAAAATACCGAAAAAAAGACTGGAGTACAAAAGAGTTTGACAAAGTCTTGACCACCATACAAAAACATGAAGATAAAATTTGCAAAGCTGTACGTGAAACAAGCACTCAACTTAAAAATGAAGTAACTAAGCAGAAAACAGAAGCTATAAGAACATACAATGAAAGACAGCCTTTGGCTGAAAAAGAAATCAATCAAATTGTTCAAAAAAATAAAGATACTGTGAAAGGTAATGATGCCACAGCCCTACTTAACTATAAATTAAGTAATTGGGATCTCCGAAAAGGCCTAGAGCTACCAAGTTGTCCAAGATTACGACCTGGTATTTTTAATCAAGACCAGATTGTTGAAATTTTTGGTTTTCTGCAGACTGAGGATAACCTGGAGAAAAAGCCTGGAATGCTGAAAATGTTGAATGATCCTGTGGTGCAACACACCATACCAAGCCCTTATGGATACCACGATAAACGCAGTAAGAGATATGGTTGTGGGCATGAGCTTTGGAGAGTACTGTGTGTGGGGAAAAATAAGATCTTGACCAGTGGAGATAACAAAACAATAAAGCAGGTAGACAAGACAGGGTCTATTTTAAACACAATTCATACAAAGATCGATGTGAGAGCACTGGCGATCAAATTTCAACAGGAACCAGATGAACCGGTGGAACCAGTGTTTGCTTCAGCTATGACGCATGATAAAGACATACACATTTCTATTAAAAATGAAGATAAGGTTTATTTCAGCACACCTGGCTGGTATTCTGTTGGACTTCATTATACAGCAAATGGAGAACTACTGGTGAGCATGCGATCTATGGATAGAAAACAGAGTAGAGTGATGAGGTACACTGGGACAACAGAGATTCAGAAGATTCAGTATGACAGTCAGGGACAACCTTTGCTTTCTACTGGAGTTACAGATGAGCTTCTCCTGACTGAGAATGGTAATGGTGACATCTGTGTTGCTGACAAAGCTGGGGAAATAGTTGTTGTGGTGGATTCATCTGGGGGATTACGATTCAAGTATACCGGCAACCTCTCCAAGCAATCAAAGTATAGAGAATTTACACCATACCACATTGCTACAGATGTCAATACTCAAATACTGATAAGTGACACCTCAAATGACATTGTCCACATCATAGACTGTGATGGTAACTTTATCCGTTACATACAGCACCCATGTAAAGGAGGACTCAGTGTTGATGAAGATCACAATCTTGTGATTGGAGACAAAAATTCAGGAATAATTAAAGTCATCAAATATATAGAGTGATGAGTATTATGAATGATAAGAAAAAAAAAAAAAAAAAAATGAACTCTTTGTCTCATCATGTTCCCTTGAGTGCACTATTTTACTGTGTGAAAAAAAGTCAACAAGAAATCAGTTTTCCAAGTGTTGCTAGTAGTATCCACATTGTGTACCTTAAAAGGCACCAGTCCGTAATCCGTAATCCTTCAATTCATCATCAATTAAAAAAAAATTAATATGACTATAATACCAACAAAAGACATTAAGAAAGGCTATGGAATTAAAAAGAAGAAATCCATAGGTGGAAAGGGAGAACCAAAGTGAATTCAGCTGTCAACCAAGGAGAAAGGACATACCTCCTCTTTCCCCCTTTGTATGGCCTCCACACATTCATTATCTACTTTCTCTTTCACCCTTTTTAGGGTGCCCACTCATTAACTACCTACTCCTCTTTTCCCCTTTGTAGGGCCTCTATTAATTCACTACCTACCTCCTCTTTCCCCCTTTGTAGGGCCTCTATTAATTCACTACGTACCTCCTCTTTCCCCTTTGTAGGGCCTCTATTAATTCTAGGAGTGAACCGGTTCACCGCGGTATCGGTTCACCGCGGTATTTTTTCTCGGTTCGATACACGGTACAAAATCTCTACTTTCGGTTCGGTTCGTTTTTCGGTCGGGATCGTCATTCAGTCGGGTTTGGCATAAGGTATTAACATGCTTCTCTTTATAATTATTCCAAAAACGTAAATTTTTGTGGACATAAAGTTTTTAAAATAATTTTTAATAGACAAATCAATAAAATCTATGTATTATATCCATTCTACATATAATTTTTTTGACTAGATAAGTTAAAGATAGAACAAAACAACAGTTGAATATGTTTCCGACTATTTAAATGTATCGTATCGAAAATAACCGAACCGAGACCAAATTATACGATACGTATCGAACCGTGAAGGAGGCGTATCGTTTCACCCCTAATTAATTCACTACGTACCTCCTCTTTCCCCCTTTGTAGGGCCTCCACTTGACTCTCGGTAGCCTGGAGTTTCCCCTTCAGCTGGGCGTTCTCTGTCTTGGCTTCCATCAGAAGATCCTGACATTGTTTGAGACTGGTGGAGGTTCCCTCCTTCTCACCTGGGATAAGAGACATAAATTGTTAATCAATAACTTTTCTACATGTGTATTTGTTGGAGAAACTCATCCTTATTGAGTTGAATAAGTGCATGTGCGATTGACCATAGATTTCCAATAAAGGTTATATTACTTCATAAATAATCTTATGTCAGTTTGTGTAACAGTTTACCATGCATGCAGTTTTTTGTCTTCACAGCTTGAGTTTCTAAACATACATAAATATCACTGCTTCATTAAACATAATGGTGGTGGTTTTGTTTTTTAATTTTATATTAGGAATTTTTACCATGTACATGTATTTTTATTGCTTGTTTTTTTTTTTTGTAAGGTATAGTGCAAGTTTTATTATTCTAATCATGCTGTTTGTAAATCATTTTGTAAATGTAGTGCTAGTGTTGTTACGATAGCAGACTATCGAAAAATCGTCGTTTAAAGGCCCAGATCGGCGACAACCAAATGTAAATATTATCAACAATAGATCGCTATATTTTTGAACCCTTATTTTTCAAGCCGAGCAAGTTTAACTTTTATATTCACCATAGGGACGTAACTCTAATCGGCAGTAAACAAAATGGTGAACGTGCATGGTGAAGAGGTTGAAGCCGAATCATATCCATATCCTGGTGCATTCTCTGTCTAAAATACTTTTTAAGATGAATAAATTTAACCTTTCTAATAGTTCAAATTATCGATTATATAATTGATTGTGTTCTTCCGATTTAATTTGATAATCGATAGTAAAATTTGTCCAATTTTACATAACTATGCAGTGCATTGAGTGTATGTGGAAAAATTCCATTCACTTCACTTTAAGAGTTGCTTCTCTTGCCGAAATATTTTTATCCTAACACATTGATTTTTATGGGTTTTTTTTTTTTGTACAAATTATATTTTATTTTTAGATAAAATGAAAAATTCATGTTATATCTTTTTCAAAAAATAAAATTTTGGTATCATTAACTACAGGTTATTATTATTCTAAGTAGTTGAACTTCTGTATCTTGAACAAAATATCTTTAATACCTCTGACATGACCAGGTGATTTGCAAGTCTAAACCACTTTTCTTTAAGCATTTAACCCTTGATATCATGAATCTTTTGATATCTGTCATTTTTTATGTCCAACTGAGTTCATTATAGAGAGATATGAATATATCTTTTAAATAGGATAAGTGAAACAAATGAAAGAAAAAGTGAGCTAGCTCACATACCCCACGCTCCCCCATAACTTGACGGTGAAACACATAATGAAAGGCACAGTGTACTTTAAATACATAGTATAGATCAAAAAGGGCAATAATTGCAAAAAATCTTTTCATCAAAATGTCTTGCATATGAGGACATTAATTTCTTCACAATATACAAATCCCAGAGATGGCGAAAGACGCCGGCCCACTGGCGATCTCCGGTAAATTTCGTCTGAGTCCGATAGTTTCTAGAACCACACATTCCGGTATTTCAGAATAATCAATAGTAAAATATAATTAAAGAAATTAGATAATGCATTATTTTTTAAAACTTTGTGAAATTGAATCTGTAAGAGTTTTACATTATTTAAATATTGCAATACGTAGTAGTATGGGGATCGAGTACCTGGCAGTTATCGAACTTACTACCGCTCTTTTGTGGAGAAGTCGAGAAAGCTCTAAATCTCGCGCCATAATTCTCAAGCATAACATTGTTTGAAGTAGTGACAATCAAAGAACTAGAACAATCATTATATGTTGTTACAATGTATTGTCACGGGTTGGACTCCAGATAATCGATTGTCAAATAAGGAAAGTTTAGAGTATTTTATTTGATTTTAAACGTAAAAATTTCAATAATGAGCTTAGTGAAAAATATCGTCAAAAAATATAATGTTATCAAATGAGGACTAACTCCTCTATAAAATTTATTACAGTGATTCAGCAAATGTTTATCAAGAGATTTAAACAAGATTTATTTCTAATCTACATTGATCCATTTTGTATTGTATTCACTAGCACATTGTCCACATCCAACAGACATTTTCTTCTTTCACTGAGAAAGAGTTCCATCAATCACAAATCAATTTCAATTTTACATTTTGTTGTTTTTACGGTCCAGCAAATTTTTAGTGTGTCCTGTAATTTTTGTGATTTTTAGACAATCTGTAGGACAGTGTGTCCGACAGAATTTTTACCTCTTTCGCCAACTCTGAAATCCACACATTAATTTGAAGTGGGGGGGGGGGGGAATTTTCTTGAATAATAGTCAAAACTCTTTGGGATAAAATAATTGAATATGATCTTAATATCAGCATACATGTAGGTTGATGAAACTATGTAAAACAGTTTAAGAGGAGTGGTGCTGACAAACTGTCCATCTCTATATTCAAGGTATGGCCAAATGCCCAAATTAAAAGTGCAGAAATTCCCAGAAAAAATAATGGAATCGGAATTTCCTGGTAATATGCACATCTACACATTGTGTCCTAAATATCTGCAAAGTTTGACGAAATTCTGTGCAGCGGTTTATAAGGAGTTTCACTGACAAACTGTTAATCTCTATATTCAAAGTATGGCCAAATGCCCAAATTAAAAGTGCGGAAATCCCCAGAAAAAATAATGGAATCGGAATTTCCTGGTAATATGCACATCTACACATTGTGTCCTAAATACCTGCAAAGTTTGAAGAAATTCTGTGCAGCGGTTTATGAAGAGTTGCGCTGACAAAAAAAAGAGGACTGACTGACTGACTGAATGACTGAATGACGGACCAGTCAAAAACATTATACCTCCCGCAACTAGTTGCGTGGGGTATAATTAAGGGTAAATCCAGCAAATGCTTTCAATAACCAAGATGTAATGACTAATGTCAATACTGGATAAGCCATTGAGATTCGATACGCTTACCTTTGGCCAGAGAGATTTGATGTTTGTATATCCTGATCTCCCTGCTTGTCTCTTGCTTGTACTGTTCAAAGTCTCGGGTGATCTCCTCGAGTTTGCTGCCTCGGGCTTTATACAGGATCTGAAGCTGAGCAAACTGTCTGTTGTCAAAAGCACCAGCTGGAAAATGTGTAAATAAAAACATATATGGAAAATAACTGTTGAACTTATCTTATTCCTTTGAATTCTTATTTTTGCATTTGCAGTGTTCCATATCTACAGTATCTTGATTTTAAAAAAAAGGAAAATATTCCCCTATCTAACTGTAAAATCACATATTTTTGTGGGGTCAAATTATAATGTTTTGAATAAAAACTCTTGGTTCGAGGGGATTTGAATTCATGGAGGATGAATTGTTGAGTACTTATTTATGTGACATTTTACTTTTAGTGGTGGACATGAATTGTGGGTCTCTTCATACCTAAGAACAACAAAAATTATCCCCCAACAAAAATTTATTTCTTTTTTGGGGGGATTTAAAGTGATCCATTTCTATCTTGATTTTAAACAGCAAGGAAAATATTCCCATGAGAGTGAAATTCTGCATTAAAAGTACCTGGTCCAGTATTTTCATGAACCTCTTCTAGTTTTTGTCTTTTCTCTTTGACCTCTGGCACTTCCTCTTCACTTTCGCTTTCTTCTCGGTCTTCTCTAAGTTTGTAAGTAACCTGGTATTCTCCTTTGAAATCCTTATCTGGAGCATTGTCATGAACAGGATATTCTTGTGAAGAATGAACAGGATGCCCTGTTGAGACTGGGGTAGCATGAACAGGATGCCCATGTGAAACTGAGGTAGAATTTGTGACATAACCTTGGTCTGACTGTAAAGTGTGTTGGTATGCTTGAGAATGGGGTGTGTCTGAGTAGGGCTTGTATGGGTTGTCTGCCCTTGGATGCTCATCTTCCTCCTGTCTGTCACTGTAATGAAAATTCAAATAAAAGAAATTTGATATTCAGTGTTTGCTAATACAGTTACACCGTTTAATCTGACACCTGCTCATTATGTGCCATCCCTTTTTACTGTGAAACCCAACCTTTCTTTTCATTCCCATTTCATTATTTTTCATGTTGTTTTGGCTTTAAAATCCAACATCCTGCCAAAATTTGTCTCCCAGTGAATGTAGGATTAGACAGTTTTTTTGTAAATTTTTCCACAGTTTACTGTGTCACATTATACTTGATTGTAGTGAAAAAGACCTAGTACTAAAATCTAAATATTTACCTGTAATAGCCAATATAATGATGAAGATGATGATAATGGTAATGCCCAGGCAGACCCCCAACATCTGAATGTTCATCTGTCCCACCCTCTGCTTCCTGTCTCTCTGGAATTTCCCCATACCTAAAATGGTCCTCCGAAGTCACATGATGCGGTATGTATGTGTTACCATGGTGAGAGGGGTCATAAACATTTGGCTGACCCTGATGTGAGAAGACGTTTTGATTGGACCAATCAGGAACCTGGTGAAACTGATGGTGATGATGTCGTTGAGGTCGATGATGGTGATTGGATGATTTGGTGCTGCTTTGTTCACTGTTACTATGGTAACCATCACTCTCTAACAAACCCTCATGGGATCTTCTTAAAACTTTTAATAAAGTAATGTTGTCATGTACACATGCCATTTTTAAAACTAAGGCTATCCAGTATTCAAATAAACATAAAGATTGTTTGACTTCTGTATAATCATAAAGGTCATATTCATATCAAATTGGGGGATCAGGAGTTCATGCAATCTCTGCAGGACTTGTAACTTTTTCTGAGTTAAATTACATATAGCTAAGCACAAGAAATTACTCACTGATTTCATACAGCTATTATCAGGGGCTGACAAATAGATTTTTCAAGCACTTGCCCACGGGCAAGTGAATAGTCAAATTTCACTTGCCCTACTTCAATTTTTACTTGCCCCACCAGCACTTTATATTCATCATAATGAATTAATTTGTCTCTTAATCGAAAAAAATTTAGCCTAGAATTATTATTTTGAATATTGGCGACATTTAAAACCACCTGCCATTAAGTACTATGTACCATGCAATCTGTTGATTGATTGTATGCTGTTTTATGTCCCGTTCCAGAATATTTTCTTTCATATAGAGACGTAAAATTGCTATCATATTTCACCTATAGTCATGATATCTGCTATTTGTTTAAAATAATCGTTTCGGACATTTATTTTTTTCTTTTCTCATACCTGATATGCTTAGACGATTTTGTATTGAGTTTTTCACTAACATTAATTGTTATGGACGATGTACTTATCATCGGCTTTCGATCGTTTTCTGCCTCATATAACTGTCAAAACTTTCTCCATTTCTCCAATGCCAATTTGTCACTTTCAATTAAGTATAAATACATGTACCGGTACTTAAAACTTTCGGTAAAACTTAATTGTAATGACACAATTAAACTGGTTCGCATACGAAGTGTGACAAACAAAGGAAGATAACTCTTATAGCGAAATAATTTCAATTTCGTGGAAAAAATATGACATTTTAAAAAATATTTATTGATTGATTATTTTTTGAATCACTTGCCCGCGGGCAAGTGCCTTTTAAAAATTCACTTGCCCGCCTCTAAAATTCACTAGCCCCGGGCGTCGGGCAATGGGATTTGTCAGAGCCTGTATTATACTTACGTCCCTCTTGAGATGATCTCAGCAGCTCTTGAGACGCCCTAAGGCTTTCCTGAGATTGTCTCAGTGAGGACATCGAGCCGTATGGACTCTGAGCTATGGTTGGTAGGCCTCCCAGGGGGGTGGAGGTGGGGAGGGGGAACGTTCTCCTGTTCCATCCTTCCCTGGGAAACACCATGGCAGAGGGTTCTTCATCCTCCTCCACAATGGGCTCTCTGTAAGGATAAAGACAGAATTAGGTAAAATGGTCAGTTTCCAAAATCAACACTACTGAATTAAATATCCCCTTAGATTCCAAAAAATCCCCTGTTGTCCCCCTGTCAGTCCCTGACATTTTCCTGTCTCTCCCTGACTTTCTCCTATGATCCCCTGTCGTTGTCCCTGCTCTCCCTGTCCAGTCCCTGTCGTCCCCTGTCGTTGTCCCTGCCTTCCCTGTCTACTCCCTGTCGTCCCCTGACATTCTCTGATCTCCCTGTCCAGTCCCTGTCGTCCCCTGTCGTTGTCCCTGCCTTCCCTGTCTACTCCCTGTCGTCCCCTGACATTTATTTTGGCCAAGAAAAGAAGTTTAAAAAATATTTTTGTTGCATTTAAGAGTGTAAATGATATAGTCTTGAAAACTTTAAGTATTTTTTTTTTTGAAAATATAGACTTAGTAAAAAGTTAACACTTTTTTAAAATACCTTAACTAAATCCCCTGTAATTTAGTTTCTATCACTTGTATCAATGTGTTTTTTTTTAGTTTGGTAGCATTTCGGGGGGAGAGCGGTAAAAAAGAAATAAATTACCAATTTATTTCATCTTGTGATGCTAGACGGCATATACATTGTGCTTTATGAATCTTTTATATATATTTATAAACTTTTTCATTTTTTATTTGATCTACTTTGAAACATCTTTGAGCGTAATAACTGTCTTTGTAAAAGAACTAGATTTAAACATTTGGGTATACATTATCAAATCCATGCATGGGATATTTTGTTTTCCCAAATAATTAAATGAATAAACATTAATTGAAAGGAATGATATATAAATGCATTAATAAAATAAATGCCTAATTAATAAATAAAATAATTAAATAAACTAAAAATCTATTTTATTCATTTATTTTTTATGTGAATAAATCTACAAATCGACTGAATTAAGAATAAATGAATAAATAGATAAATAAATAAATAATGAGAATTAGATAAAGTTATTCATTTATTCGTTTCTTTTTTAATTTATCACTCATTTATATCCCCAAAATTTGTTTTATTAGTTTTATTTTATTTATTTGCTGAAATATGCTACAAAGTATTTTATTAGCATATTTAAACGACTTTGTTTTACTTTAAGTCCATGATGGATATCAAAATAATCGACTCATTATGCACAATATTAATCTGTCATTAACATTTTTGATACATTAATTTGATTAAAAAATCGGTTTTCAAAACCCAAACACGATTCTGAAACAACATCAAAGCCATTGATGTTTACCAGTAATTAACTCGGGGTACACAGTCATGACACCTATTATCTTTTTCACTGACCACTATCCTTTGTTTATGTTTTGGCAGGACGACCGTGTGTAGTTTGCAGCTGTTTGAAATAACATCTTCTCTTTGTATGAGAACTGATTTTTTCAATCAAAACAAAATAAAACTATCAAAGAAACTATTGACGGGTAAAGATTGTGCATAATGAGACGATTATTTTGATATCCATCATGGAAGAAAATAATTAAAAGTAGTTTAAATATGCTTCAAAAATACTTTGATACATATCTATCGTAAATCAGTTTACATAGAATATGCCAAACAAATCCCATTTTCAGGTATATGATTATTTAGTTTGCTTGTATCGTCAATTTTGAAAATAATAAGACTGTTTTTATAATGATTTAATACATGCAGTTAATTAGTTAATTTATTTTTTTATTCACTTACTATAAAAAATCAATTATTGTATTGATTTTAAAAACTAAAATATTCCAAAATACGCCAGTACCCCTGCTGTCTTTTCTTCTTTTTTTCTTACAAAAAGTAGAAAGTCACTCCATTATTAAATAAATAAAACAAGAATAAAAGAAAACTAAAGAAACACATTTTTTTGCGGATATAAATGATTGAATAAATTGTTGTTTTTTCAATTTCAAAAATAAATAAATAAATTGATATTTTATTTATAATTATTTCATTATTTTTTTAAATTATTTATTTACTTATTTACTATGTATTTATTTCGCTGCAATCTGTTTTATTCATTAAATACTGGTTTGACTTTGTACCACTTGTAAGAAAAAAGTCAGCAGGGGGTATTGGTGCTTTTTAGAATATGTTATTGTTAAAAACCAATGCATTAATTGATTTTAAATCATCAGTAAATAAAAAAAATTAACTTATTAACTGCATATATTAAATCATTATAAAAACAATGTTTTTATTTTTAAAATTGACGACACAAGCAAACTAAATAATCATTTACCCGAAAATGGGATTTGTTTGACAAATTCTATTTAAAATGATTTACGATAGAATATGCTTCAAATTATTTTTGAAGCATATTAAATCTGCTTTTAATTATTTTACTTCCATGATGGATATCAAAATAATCGTCTCATTATGCACAATCTTTACCCGTCAATAGCTTCTTTGATACTATTATTTTGTTTTGATCGAAAAAAAAAATTAAGTTCTCATACAAAGAGAAGATGTTTTTTCAAACAGCTGCTAACTGTACACGGTCACTCTGAACACCACATAAACAAGGTATAGCGGTCAGCGAGAAAGACAATAGGTGTCATGACTGTGTACCCCGAGTTAATTACTGGTAAACATCAATGGCTTTGATGTTCTTTCAGAATCGTGTTAGGGCTTTGAAAACCGATTTTTTAATCAAAACAAAGTATCAAAAATCTAATTGACAGATTAATATTGTGCATAATGAGACGATTATTTTGATATCCATCATGTACTTGAAATAATAAAAAGTTGTTTAAATATGCTAATAAAATACTTTGTAGAACATCTACGGATGCAAGTGTTTATATAAAATAAAACTAAATAAACACAATTTCTGGCAGATATAAATAATTCATTAATTTGTTGTATTTTCAATTTCAAAAATAAATAGATTGATATTTTATTAATAATTTTTTTTTTATTATTCATTTATTTTATATTATTTACTAGAGTATTTACTATGAATTTATTTCGCTTTAATCTGTTTAATTCGTTAAATACTGGTTTGACTTTGTACCATTTGTAAAAAGAAAAAAAAAAGAAAAAAGAAAGAAAAAAGAGAGAGACAGAAGGGGGTATTGGTGCATTTTGGAATATTTAAGTTTTTAAAATCAATATAATAATTGATTTTTGATAGTTAGTAAATTAAAAAAAAAATAAACTTATTATTTGCATGTATTTATTCATTATAAAAACAATCCTTTTTATTTGTAAAATTGACGATACAAACAAATGAAATAATCAAATACCCGAAAATGGGATTTGTTTGGCATATTCTATTTAAAATGATTTACGATAAATATGTATCAAAGTATTTTTGAAACATATTAAATCTGCTTTTAATTATTTTACTTCCATGATGGATATCAAAATAATCGTCTCATTATGCACAATCTTTACCCGTCAATAGCTTCTTTGATACTATTATTTTGTTTTGATCGAAAAAAAAATTAAGTTCTCATACAAAGAGAAAATGTTTTTTCAAACAGCTGCTAACTGTACACGGTCACTCTGAACACCACATAAACAAGGTATAGCGGTCAGCGAGAAAGACAATAGGTGTCATGACTGTGTACCCCGAGTTAATTACTGGTAAACATCAATGGCTTTGATGTTCTTTCAGAATCGTGTTAGGGCTTTGAAAACCGATTTTTTAATCAAAACAAAGTATCAAAAATCTAATTGACAGATTAATATTGTGCATAATGAGACGATTATTTTGATATCCATCATGTCATTAAAATAATGGAAAGTCGTTTTAATGCGCTATCAAAATACTTTGTAGCACATCTACGGATGCAAGTGTTTATAAAACAAAACTAAAGAAACACAATTTCTTGCAGATATAAATAATTCATTAATTTGTTGTATTTTCAATTTCAAAAATAAATAGACTGATATTTTATTAATAATTTTTTCATTATTCATTTATTTTATTTATTTACTATGAATTTATTTCGCTTCAATCTCTTTTTTTTCGTAAAATACTGGTTTGACTTTGTACCATTTGTTAAAAGAGAGAGAGAGAGAGAGAGAGAGAGAGAGAGAGAGAGAGAGAGAGAGAGAGAGAGAGAGAGAGAGAGAGAGAGAGAGAGAGAGAGAGAGACTGCAAGGGGTATTGGTGCATTTTGGAATAATTAAGATTTTAAAATCAATATAATAATTGATTTTGAATAGTTAGTAAACAAAAAGAAAATAAATAAACTTATTAGCTACATGTATTTATGTAACAAAAAAAATCTTTTTTTATTTTTAAAATTGAGGATACAAACAAATTATATAGTCAAATACCCGAAAATGGGATTTCTTTTGGCTTATTTTATGTACAACTATTTACGAAAAAATATGTGTCAAAGTATTTTTGAAGCATATTAAATCTGCTTTTAATTATTTTACTTCCATGATGGATATCAAAATAATCGTCTCATTATGCACAATCTTTACCCGTCAATAGCTTTTTTGATACTTTTATTTTGATTGAAAAAAACATTAACTTCTCATACAAAGAGAAGATGTTATTTCAAACAGCTGCAAACTACACACGGTCGTCCTGCCAAAACATAAACAAAGGATAGTGGTCAGTGAAAAAGATAATAGGTGTCATGACTGTGTACCCCGAGTTAATTACTGGTAACCATCAATGGCTTTGATGTTCTTTCAAAACCGTGTTTGGGTTTTGAAAACCGATTTTTAAATCAACACAAAAAATCAAAAATTTAATTGACAGATTAATATTGTGCATAATGACATGATTATTTTGATATCCATCATGGACTTAAAGTAATAAAAAGTCGTTTTAATATGCTAATAAAATACTTTGTAGCATATTTCAGCAAATAAATAAAATAAAACTAATAAATCAAATTTTGGGGATATAAATGAGTGATAAATTAAAAAATAAACAAATAAATGAATAACTTTATATAATTCTAATTATTTATTTATCTATTTAATTATCTATTTATTCATTTATTCTAAATTCAGTCGATTTGTAGATTTATTCACATAAAAAATAAATGAATTAAATAGATTTTTAGTTTATTTAATATTTTTTATTTATTGAAAAGACATTTATTTTATTAATGCATTTATATATCATTCCTTTCAATTAATTTTTATTCATTAAATTCTGTAAGAAAGCAAAATATCCCGTGTTAATGATTTCCCAAATGTTTAAATCTAGTTCTTTTACAAAGACAGTTATTACGCTTAAAGATGTTTCAAAGTAGATCAAATAGAAAATAAAAAAGTTTATAAATATATATAAAAGGTTCAAAAAGTTCAATGTATTTGCCGTTTAGCATCACAAGATGAAATAAATTGGTAATTAATTTCTTCTTTAGAATCGATGCAATTCTTTGCCGTTCTATCCCCGAAATGCTACCAAACTAAAAAAAAATCACACTGATAGAAGTAATAGAAACTAAATTACAGACATTTAAAAATGTGTTAACTTTTTACTAAGTTTACATTTTCAAAAAAATACTTAAAGTTTTCAAGACTGTATCATTTTTCACTCTTAAATGCAACAAAAATATTTTTTAAACTTCTTTTCTTGGCCAAAATAAATGTCAGGGGACGACAGGGAGTAGACAGGGAAGGCAGGGACAACGACAGGGGACGACAGGGACTGGACAGGGAGATCAGAGAATGTCAGGGGACGACAGGGAGTAGACAGGGAAGGCAGGGACAACGACAGGGGACGACAGGGACTGGACAGGGAGAGCAGGGACAACGACAGGGGATCATAGGAGAAAGTCAGGGAGAGACAGGAAAATGTCAGGGACTGACAGGGGGACAACAGGGGATTTTTTGGAATCTAAGGGGATATTTAATTCAGTAGTCTTCTTCAATTTAATATAATTTGAAAATAATTCTTCCATGGTGTTTATTTTTATATTTTTGATTGACAAAGTTTACAACATTAGAAACTGTTTTAAAAGTATAATAAAAGCCTTACGTATCTTCCTTGGATCTGAAGTGGAGGCTGTGATTGCGTGAGTCTCCGCCCTCATCTGACGTCACAGAAAACTCATCATCCTCATCAATTAAATCATCAAACGCATCCTTCAGCAAAGCTTTCAGCTGTAAATGTATAAATCAGGATAAGTCATTATTGCTTATTATTTGAGCATATTTTAAAATCCTTTTTTTAACAGAAAAATCTATCCTCTGTCCATGTTTAAATTATCTTTGAAAACAGCATTCCACATGCATAAATTAATTTAAAAGCTTTAAAAAAGGAAATTATCTGTAAGAAACTAATCAATATTGTGTACAATTTTGACACCATTCACTACCTGTAACAAGAGTGCATAGAGATCTCTTATATCATCATACACTGCAGGGTGAACTTTGACCCGGAAATAACCTTGACATGGACACAAATTTGACCTCTTATTTCGGTCATTTAACAAAGTACTTAATGTAAATGGATTTAGATAAAAGTTTCCTTTTCCAGTGCCAAATTGAACATCTTCGAATTCCATAAGATCTATCAAACAACAGAACTTGGTGAATAAATTCCATACATAAGTAGAGTTCAAGTAAAAACTTTATCCTGAATTATTCTGTCTGGGTGAAATAAAAGTATTATATTCCACTTTATGTTTAGTATAACGTAAAATGCAGCAAGAGAGAGTTTATATTCCAATAATTTCAAAATAGACTTATACTTTTGAGAATTGCCCTATGACTGCCTTTTGTTTCTGTCACATGATATCATCAATCCAGAAATCATTAGTACCCTTTTCTAAATTGGGATGAATTCTGATTTCAACAGTCATCAACTGTTTTCATTAGATGGCAGCTTTCACTGCCCGTAGCATTATTTTCAATCTCTTAAAGACTCTTGAAAAGGATTAGGAGCTAGCATTTTGATTGAAACAATTAATTAGCATCATGTTGTCATGGTGACAACCTCTATCAATAATCAATCAGCGATTGGGACATCTCTGAGAAGATGGCATTAAGAAGACAAGGGAATTAAGAAGCCAGTAAAACAGGCTCTAGAAAATCCAGGTAACAAAGGGCAAACATCTGTCCACAGTGAAACATACAGAGAGATCAAGTTCATAAACTTTAGATATTTTTAAGATCAGTAAAAAATAAGCAATATATTTCTTAGTAAACTGTAGCTGCAGAAAGGTAGCTTACCAAAAAAAAATCTATTAACAGACCGGAAAGCTATAGTGCCACCCATGTGCACAAAAAAATGGGCTGTTTCTCAATTTATTTCTTCACATGTTTAAAACTGCCATCTCAAAATATTACTAACCACTGCTAACCATGTGTTCCTAACACATTAATTCACCCATTTATACTGTCAATTTGGTTTACAAGATAATTCAGTCCAACGCGCTTCATTCAGATGTAAACTTCGAAAGCACTTGATAGAGGAGTAAGGACTTATTTTGAAATCTAGCTAGGTTTTTTGCATTTGAGGTAAGAAATTTGAAGAATTAATCCAGAATTGAGTGCACTTTTTTGCGCAATAAATATACAGTTTTTTTCAATGGGTGGCACTGTTCTCCGGTCTGTCAAAATTTTTTTTTGGAGAGCAACAGTTCTGCAGCTAAGTAAACTGAAATGTTCATGCCTAAACTGTATTTAGCCCCTGGAGAATAACTTACTATACAGTTTTCCTAGGTACACAAATCCTCAATCCTTGGAGTAACTATTAATTAACAATGCTTATAATATAATACTGTAAGAGGAGGAAAGAGAGAGAGAACATATTTATGTACAATAAAATTCATAAAAGGAATGAAATATAATTTGTAAATGCAGTGTCCCTATGACCCCTGACCCGTTTGCCCCCTTGCAGATACTGACCTCATTTTGTTGCTGTTCGTTTTCCCTCTGAAGCTCCTTTTCCTGCTGACTCTGAAGGTCAAGGCCATCAAAGTTCATCATACTCAGACCAGGATTCAGGGCACTTCGGTCTGTACTCATCTTGTACCTTGACCTCTCTCAACAACCTTGAACTTCATTAGTCACATGGCTGACATCAAACTGAAAATAAAAAAAAAATCAAGAAGCTTTATTTCAGCACTGACAGAATTTGATTCATTGGTTTTTCCTTAGTTGAATCAATCTAAGTTGATGTTGCAGGTAAAATTCAGCTTTATCTTATAACAGGCTAAGCTATGGCGACAAAAGCAAAAGAATTTATTAAACCATCATGTATGACTTGAAAACAGCACCAACATGAATGCAAGACATTTTTAACTCAGGGTCTCCATATCAAACAGTTAGATATGACCAAAGCAGAGTTTATAAAAAATACCACGTTATCATCAAGTCAACAGCAACTGGAATGTAAAACCATAGGACCATGCATTACTTTGAAATAATCATATTAGGTGTTAGAACCGGGGGCTAGGAGGGGGCTTAACCCCCCTCAACACTTTTTTGGCAAATATATACATAAAATCTAGGCATTGAAAATTGGGATAACCCTTATTTGTAGAGTTAGCCCCCCCCCCCCACTTAAAATTTGCTTCTGACGCCTATAATTGTGTCATGTTAAGGTAAGGTATCAAAACATTGAGAATTTATGAAATGATAAGTCAAAAGATAAGAGTGCAACCATAAACCACTTGACGATTTACCACGGTTTATTTTTCCCGGTTCAATCCACGATCATGCAGCCACGGGTAGGAGAGAGCTACATATATGCGGACTCTGGACCGTGGCTTGAGACGATGGGTTCGCTTCAATTGGTCCCTAATTATCTGAATCCTCCAGTTTGGTTCCTAGATATTTATCAGGTCTCTTTCCCAGTCTTAGTGTACAGGGATTTACCAGTATTTTCTCAGGGGCCGAAATTTGGCTCCATTCCCAACTGAAATTGAGTTCATTTTTTCTCAATTTGGCAGTAATTTTTCCTAATTGCAGAACAATGCCTTTTTTATTCAATTATCTTGGAAAAAATACAAAGTTTATATGTCAGATGATCTCTAATTTTCCTTATAATTTAACTCATTTAGCATGTTTAGCAAAAGTGCACCATAGTTGTAACACATGTTTAAAAACATCGCCAACTTTTAATCCAAATTTCCTCAGTTTTTTTCAGAAGTAGTGATATTGTGTAATTCTGTAAGTTTATTAACTCATTTTGACTTGCTCAATTGATCTATGAATAAATGGTAAGAACGGCAGGCATTATTTCAGACAGAAAATATAAATTTTCAATGCACATTTTAGAAAATGTGCATATAAGGCCAGAATAAATAAATTGCTAGATTCTCATCCGATTTTTTTAAAAAATTGAGGCGGACGGGCGGCTTTTATTTTATATTTTTTATTTTTTCAGTTTTGCAGATTTTTTATTGACCTGGTCAATCGGTGTAATTTAATCTACAATACCTGAATAAAAGTCATAGTTAAGGTTCAATTATCTTTTACTTCACACTATCACCTATCTTTTTCAACCAATGACCCTTGTTTAAAATATATATGCATGTATTACAGCAATATACCATCTTTTCAGCTGTCAAAATCATGTCGACTTTCGCGGGATTTAAAACGAAAGTAGAATGGTATATGAATACCGATCCCGATCAGTATTAAGTCACAAAGAAAAACAGAAATAAAAAAAATCGAGGCGGAGGTATAAAATCGGGGCGGGCGGGGATGAGAATTTAGGAATATTTATATTATGGCCTAATTTAGTATAATTTGCAGGAGGTTTATATCTCCCATGACCTAAAATTGGAATCTCTCATGATACACAAATATACTACCCTAAGTTGTATAAAATAAATACTCATTGAATTCAAATTTACTAAAACTATAAGTCTATTATTCATAATTGATCTTTTCCCCAATTTCCAGAAAATGATGTTTCCCAAATTAGGCTGATAAATCCCTGGTGTAAAGAACGTACGTTTGATAAAACTTTTCAGCTTAAACAGGGCTGTCACAGCACCTTTTGGGACAGGGACCGGGTCCCTCTATATTGGGAAAAATCCTCGACATTTTTTGTCAAATTGGGAAAATTTTAAACATACTTTCATGTATTAAATTAACTCCCACCCCCAAGAAAAAGAAAAGCTAAAATTTACAGGACATAAGGTCTGATAAAATCTATATTTAACAGACCAAACATTTACTTACTTAGCAGGCTTTTTTTCCATATGATATAGAGACTTAAAAATGTGGGGAGGGGGTATTTCTTACTGTTTAATTGCATTTGAAATAAATAAAAAAAAAAATAGATTATAAAGAATAATTTATTGAAATTACCAAGTTACTATTTTAAATTTTCCTTTAAAATGTGATATCATAAAATTGCCTAGATCTACAATTTATTTTTTTTTTCTACCAATTCTGGTCATTTAACACATGCAAATGAAACAGATAGTATCCAAGATTTTATTTTAACTTATAATTCACTTTAAAACTGTTTATTTATTTTATGAACTAGCTCATAATGGTTATCCTTGTTTAATAATGAAAGTAAGTTCCCCAACCCAATCTACGTATGACTTATCCATAGATCTATATTCCATGACAGAGAAAATTCGAATTACAAATAAACGATCATGATAGGGTTGTTGCAGATTAAAATCAATCATGGATTACTGCTAAATGGATAAAAAAACAAGAGGCCCATGGGCCACATCGCTCACCTGAGAAGCTTTGACCATTCTGTTCTTTACCAGATTTCACCCTTGTTATACATAATGCATCCCCACCCTACCCCACTGATCATAATTTAGACATTTTGAAATCTACACTACCCCTTTATCCTTCCATGGGCACATATGTTTCAGCTTTTTGGCCCAGTGGTTCTTGAGAAGAAGATTTTCAAAGATTTTTCCTATATATTTCTATGTAAAGCTCTGATTCCCTATAATGGCCTGCCCTTCCCCCGGGGGTCATGATTCCTACAATTTAGAATTTACACTACCCTAGAATGCTTCCACATAAGCTTCACTTTTTCTGGCCCAATGGTTCTTGAGAAGAAAAATTTCAAAGATTTTTCCTATATATTTCTATATAAAACTTTGATTCCACATTGTAGCCCCACCCATCCCCCCGGGGGTCATTATTTGAACAATTTAGAATCTACATTATACCAGGATGCTTCCACATAAGTTTCAGCTTTTCTGGCCCAGTGGTTCTTGAGAAGAAGATTTTCAAAGATTTTTCCTATATATTTCTATGTAAAAATTTGATACCCCATTGTAGCCCCGCCCTTTCCCTGGGGGTCATGATTTGAACATTTTAGAATCTACACTATACCAGAATGCTTCCACATAAGTTTCAGCTTTTCTGGCCCATTGGTTCTTGAGAAGAAGATTTTCAAAGATTTCTCCTATATATTTCTATATAAAACTTTGATTCCCCATTGTGGCCCCACCCATCCCCCGGGGGTCATGATTTGAACAATTTAGAATCTACATTATACCAGGATGCTTCCACATAAGTTTCAGCTTTTCTGGCCCAGTGGTTCTTGAGAAGAAGGTTTTCAAAGATTTTTCCTATATATTTCTATATAAAACTTTGATTCCCCATTGTGGCCCCGCCCTTTCCCTGGGGGTCATGATTTGAACAATTTAGAATCTACACTACCCAAGGATGCTTCCACATAAGTTTCAGCTTTTCTGGCCCAGTGGTTCTTAAGAAGAAGATTTTCAAAGATTTTTCCTATATATTTCTTTGTAAAACTTTGATTCCCCATTGTGGCCCCGCCCGTCCCCCGGGGGTCATGATTTGTACAATTTAGAATCTACACTATACCAGGATGCTTCCATATAAGTTTCACTTTTTCTGGCCCAGTGGTTCTTGAGGAGAAGATTTTCAAAGATTTTTCCTATATATTGCTATGTAAAACTTGGATTCCCCATTGTGGCCCCGCCCTTCCCCCGGGGGTCATGATTTGAACAATTTAGAATCTACACTACCCCAGGATGCTTCAACTTAAGTTTCAGCTTTACTGGCCCAGTGGGTCTTGAGAAGAAGATTTTTTAATGAACCCACCCTATTTTTGTCTTTTCTTGATTATCTCCCCTTGCGAGGGGATATGTCCCTTCATTTTAACAATTTAAATTCCCCTTAACCCTAGAATGCTTTGTACCAAGTTTGGTTAAAATTGGCCCAGTGGTTGAGAAGAAGTCGAAAATGTGAAAAGTTTACAGACGGACAGACAGACAGACGGACAGACGGACGGACAGACGGACGGACGACGGACAAAATGTGATCAGAAAAGCTCACTTGAGCCTTCGGCTCAGGTGAGCTAAAAAAGGATGTATGTGTGGAAAATTAGTTGTAGAAAACGAGAAAACGTGTCTCTTTGGTTAAGTCTGTATTGGGAAAATCTAGCACTTTATGCCATTGGGAATGGGTCCGATATTCGGTTCTTATTTGAGGGCAATGACGGCCCTGTTAAAGTATATGATCATGATGATGACAAACGTCTGACTTTTTACCCAATATGTCATGTATCGTTATACGTATTGTAACGTGAACTGAATACCATGATATGTATCGTATCGTGGGGTAGGCGTTGCACCCCTATCAAAAGATAACTTTTTTGTCATGTTTATTATTGTCATTGTGTATAACTTAATTCATTCTCCATGCTACATTCAATAAACTTAAATACTGGTATAGTACCCCTCCCTCCCCCATTATTTTACTCCTCATGCAACATACTTCGAAATATATATTGGTACCCCCCTTTTTTTTTATTGAGACGATCTATCGCCTCAAAATCATAACATACATGTCAGAAACTGAGAAAGGGCATGTTCTTTATGTTGCAATATTTACACGATCTCTAAATATCTTACCCTACGGACAATAATCACTTTCATCGAAAGAAAAATTTCTTCTGATAGTTATACATCAAAAAATCGTGCTTCAACGTGAAGAATTTAAATCCCAGACTAAAACAGGAACTTCTCAGCATGTGCCGACATGTTTTCAGAGCCGCGGTTGAAACCAAAATAATCCCTCTACTCGAAAAATGGTGGCAATACAAATATTTTACAAAATGTATCATTCAATTTAACAAAAGCGTTTTCATTTCATGTAGTGTAAATGTGGTTTAACATGCAGGAAAAGTGAAAACGTGTGCTTACATTCTGTATCCCTTCGAAGAGAGCGCCATTTGACAACATATCCCATAATTCTTGAAAAGGAAGTCAACAAGCGACGACTAATGAGGGGAAAAGACGTGCACTACCTATATACAAAGTAGACAGAGTTACCGCTCATGGTACAGTGTATGTATATTTTTTGCTAAGCTGTTGAAATATCAAGAAATAAACCCACTTAACTTTCAAAGAGTTATCACAGAGATAAAAATTGACATAGAAATATCACGGCATGCTCCAGAGACAGCTCAGTATTACGTTACGCTACAACTCCATTATTCGTAGGGAAAGTAGTCCCGGAGAATTGACGCTGTATGGAGTTTGATATCACGGATGATGTGGTGGGTTGTGGTTTCCGTGGTTGGGATCATAATCTAATGGCAGTGGTACATCCCGTTGTCACAACCACCGGGCCAGAAAATGTGAAACTTATGTGAAGCATCCTGGGGTAGTGTAAATTCTAAACTGTTCCAATCATGACCCCCGGGGGTAGGGCGGGGCCACACAGGAAAACTTTCAAAGATTTATCACAGAGATAAAATTTGACATAGAAATAATTTGTTATCTAAAAAAAAAAAAAAAGGAAGTTTGCAGTAGAGAGAGAGAAAAAACATTATTGTATAATAAAAATGATTTTTTTTTTTGCATAATGAGATCACTGCTCTATTATAGGCCTATCTGGCTATCATGCCCTACAACACAGCGTTACAAGCCAAATCAAACGTAAACAAATCAAATGTTTGAAAAATCTTTGTTTGACAAGAATATTGTATGTGTCTGTTATTTTTGTTCTTACCTACTGTATTCAACCCCCCCGAACCCGACTTGATTTCGTGAGAGGCTCATGGGCCACAGGCTCATCTGGTTCACTCGAGCTGGCAGTAAGTGGCGGATTCAGAGGTTAATGTATAGGAAGGTGTTTTGAGGACCGAAAGGCCGGAGAGAAAACGCTAGCTTACCTAAAGCAATAAACAAAAAAATTAAAATGGAAAACTTGTCCAAACACAGGAATTCTATTTAGTACAAATGTAAAAGGGGGGGGGGGGAGCTAAATCAATAATGTAGCACTTTCGTGGGGGAGGGTGAATGGGGGGGGGTCAAATTAAAAAGAAATCGGTGAGGTTTATATTTTTGCAGCTAATTGCGGATAAGCAGATTTTAATTAACCTATTTTTTGGTTCTGATTCCCTCCCATTGAAAAATATATGGTCTTACACTTACTCTTGCTAAATTGCTTACGTCAGGTTACATTTAGAGGGAAATTGGCCCAGTGGTTTATAAAAGGAGCCGAAAATGCTTCAAGTTTAAACAGTAAGACAGACGGACAAACAGGTAAAACAGATATAAATATCGGATAAAAAAAAATAGAAAAGCTTAGTAAACTGAGTATTTGAGCTTTTCAATTGATGAGCGCTATATACATGATATAGTGAATCTTACAATAAAGATTGTAAAACATCAATTTTGTTGATTTTTGGTTTAAAAAGTCAAAGATTCATTGTTACATTCCTACTTTACTTATATATATCAAATCAGATTCAATATGCTACCCTAAATGAATGCATAAAGACAGTAGACTTGCGTAATGCTTAGGGTGAAAATTCATATCTTCGTTTTATTTTACCAGACATGCAACCAGAGCTTTTTGCTGAAGAACGGGAAATTATTTATTTTAGGTCCTGTTCTTCTCATGTTGGAACTTCTCTGTACAATCATTATCTCTGTCCGTGTGTGAAATTTGGATTGTATCGCACTAATGCACATGGTTGATAATTTGTATGAAGTCGATGAATGCCCTCCAAAAAAGAAAAGAAAAGAAGATTGTGTTATTTATCCTGCATACAAGTCTCATGAGGAAACTCCGAGCAACTACGCACCAGATAGTGCTGATGGTGTCCTAAACAAAATGCACGACGTAACAGTCCTGTCCACCATTCAGACTCCGTTCAGAGGAAGCTTTTACATGGAGGAATTATGGAAGGTAAACTGTGTGGGAAAAACTTGATCTGGATCAGTGGCCGAGATGATACACTGAGAGTTATAGACAGGAATGGGTTTCTTTTACAAACAGTAAAGACTTCTAATGTCGTGTCAGCGATGACAGTCAACTCACACCAGGAACCAATTTTCTAAATCGGTCGGTCCGACAGACAAGTGTACATTAACAGAAATAAAAAGGTTGAGATACTTTTAGAATTAATTAACGGACTGGCTGGGAAGAGGTCTACATTATACTGCAAATGGAGATCTACTAATTGCAAACACAAGATGGCGTACAGAGTATAGTGGTGAGATACACAGGGACAACACAGATTCAGAGATTAGGGAGATCCAATATGACAGTCAGGGACAACCTTTGTTTGGTACTAATTAAAGTGGGAGGTATGCTAAATCTCGCTAAAAATGGCAACGGCGAAATTTGTGTGTCTGCCTTTGGTTGAAGTGTCGTCATTGTGGTCGATTCATCCGGGTGTTTAAGGTTCAAATATCAGGGTCACTCCTCCAATCAGAGGGAAAATGCACTATTCCTACCATTTAATATCGCTACTGATGTCAGTATTCAAATACTGATAACTTAGAGTTCTCGTAACGTTTTCCATACCCTAAATTGTGATGGTAACTTTGTTTTATATATAGAACAGTGTTTTCAATAAGAGCCGGCAACCGGCAAAATTAACCGCCTGTACGAGAAATTTTGCCGGCTATGAAATTTCCGTCATTAAGATTTTGCCGGGGCTGATACGTGAAATCCATAGATTTTATCGCAACTATTTCCATGATTTAGAGTAGCTTCCCTTGAGTGCGCTCTTTTTTCAAGGAAGTTTGATTAGATCGATCGTGTCATGCAATGGCGGCGCGGACAACGAATATTTGAGCGAAGTCGTGGAGAAACGTGCTGCTGCTGCTGTAACACATGCGTTTGAGATCACATACATTAAGAGGCATAAAGAATGGTCCCTTCCAAAAAGAATTTTTTGTGTTTTATAATTTTGATTGAAAATTGATTGTGCGGCAGCCTAGCTTAATATCAAGTGAGGGGTTCCCCGGTGAAAAAAAACAGCAAATAAATATAATTTTAAGACCTTACGAAAAATGTTGAATTCTTACAGAATTTCCTCAAACTGAAAATCTCAAGTGTTAAGCTAAGACGTAATAATTACGAATAAAAGTCTTATTATTTTGATCGTGACTCAGACGTACATGTAGAAATTCTTACAGAATTTCCTCAAACTGAAAATGTAAAATTTTATTCTCATTTATTCGTGTAAAGATATCTTGAAATACAGGAACAGAATCATTTTCACATTTGGGAAGGTTTTAATGTACTAGTATTTTGTATCAAATTCCATTTTCTTAATTATTTTGTTCTGACAATCTGTACCAAATGAAAATGCCAAAGTAAATAAGTTTTAAAATTAATTTATGAAACGTCTAAGATTGCAGAATATTTCAATTTTTGGAGGGTACTATACATCACCAAGTGTTGAAAAAAATTACATTTTTAACTAAATAATTTATTTTTGAATTTTGAATAAAAGACCTGACTAATTTATGTGAAAGGGACAAATATGTAGAATTTTTAGTATAATATTTTACCACAGACAATTGTCTGTACTAGAATTTCATACTTAAGTTGTCTATATGTTTGTATAGACACTTAGTTTTCAGAAGAAAAAAAAACTCAGTCTGTCAAAAACTGCCAAACAAATCTGTGAAAAGGTAAAAAATGTTTTCTAATTGGCTTTTTAAGGTAAAATTTGATAATTGATAGTGAGAGGAATGTGAAAAAATGGTACTTTTTTAATAGCCTGAGAGGTAAGAAAATGAGTCAAAAATGCTGATTTTCGTTTTCCGCCGGGGGGCTTCGCCCCCCTGGGCCCCCTACCAGGGCTCTGCCCTGGACCCGCTGGGGGCCTAAGGCGGCCCCCAGACCCCTCGCCAAGACTGGTTTCCTGCTATTCCATCTATTTTTCCTTCTATTTAAAATCTTATTGAAAACACTGTAGAATATCCGTGTGTGTCTAGATGTTGATCAGAATCTTGTTATTGGAGATAGAACCACGGGGGAAATACGATTCTTTAAGTAAGGAATTGTTAGAAAATCATAGAGAAACAATATAAATATATATATATATATATATATATATATATATATATATATATATATATATATATATATATATATATATATATATATACCTATGAGGACAAAAGCAAGTATAATAATTGTTACGAAGGGTATTCATAATGGCATCCAATATGAGGTTAAATTGGTAGACAAAGAAACATCGTTTCATGCAGTATGCTTCTCGAATAATGAAATTTCACTATATTTTTATCAGAGGCAGGATGGAAATTGACTCTGAGTACAATAGCAAGGTTATTGTCAAATAAAACACCAACTATTGTAATAAAGTCTATTCCTTAACAGAGCGTTTAAATGGATCTATAATGAAAATATCTTATATTTCAATATTTTACCGGGTATATATCTAAGATATATATTGAACGACTTCACAATTTTTTAGCGAAAGACAATTACGAAATTGATGGAGTTTAAACAGTGCAGATAAAAAATACAACATGGAAAACATAAAAAAAATTCCCCGTCCCGTGATAAGGAAAAATATATATCAGAGATTATAGATGGCTTGCTTCACACTTTTTGGCGAAAGACAATTATAAAACTGACCGAATTTAAAAATATCAAAATATTAAATAAAAATAATCACCATTAATGCAAGTTTGGGAGTCATCTGTATGAAAAAAAATTAAAATTAATTCAGATGAATAAGTTTTCCAGCAAGGAAGCCAGCAATTAAAATGCCCTCGTCCCGCACTTAAGAAATAAATAAAAGCTATAACAAAATATATATTAACTTTGTCCGTGGCCAAAGTGTGGTTTTCCTATACCCCTGGATCAAAACTGTTTGCCTGCATGAGGACCCACAGCCTTATACAAACAGTCCGGTTTAATAAGGGGACCCACAACACGCAAATATTTTGATGTTGAAGACTTGATATGCAG